TTGTTATTATTATTAAAAATTGTATTAACTTCTCAACTAAAAAGTCTCCCAGTGCAACTTACTGAACGGTAAAATAGTAAACCTTGTTTGTCCTGAGGTTAAACTCTGCATTAAAATAACTCTGCAACTTAAAAGAAAATGGATTTCAGAGCAATAATGGAGCAAGTTATGTATATATAAAGTATAAGAAGCAAAATCTAAATAGCTGTATCTAGACTTCAGACAGGAATTATTTCAAAATTCTGGTGGCATATTATTTTAAAATATTTAGTTGTGGAAAAACTATTTTTATTTGATAAAGTCTTGTGGTTTTAAACATGAGGGAGCCAATTTCATCATAAAAAACAAAATAATGATGAGAATATGTTCAACATTAAAGACAACATAGACTATTCAAATAATTTTGGATTCACAACTAAAATTTATGAACAAGTAATTTGTAAATGGCATGTTTGGTTGTTCAAGATATCTGTATTGATATTACAAAGTATTGTAATAACTACTTACAATTATTTGGGGAAAATAAAGAGTTCTAATCCATGGAAATAATGTACAATTCTATATGAAAGAACTAAGTCTTGCTATAAATTGGTTTAATTCATATCTTTTGATCCCATAATGTAACTAATTGGACTTCGGATATGGTTGTTCATAGAGATTTAAATTACAAGACATGTTAAGCTAATATTTTTCATAATTCAGGATTATTCTGCATAAGCAGGCTACTGTGTTCTGCCCCATTATTCCACATGATTTGTCAATTTGAGCTAAACAAATCAGAGAACACCTATGGTTCATTTAACTTTCCATTGAAGGAATGATTCTTAGTATCTTATAATCAGAATTATAAGCAAATATTTGTCCTTAGCTGCTTGATTTGTTGCACTATTGTTATTGGCAAGAGGAGCCAAAAGGGAGCATCTAGCAAAAGTCACTAGGGCAGTGATGGCGAACCTTTTAGAGACCGAGTGCCCAAAAACTGGCCCTGCCCCACTCCACCCCCTGCCCCGCCCCCATCCCACCTGCCCCCAGGGCCACTCACCGTCTCCAGGGTCCGCCGCAGATCGCCCAGCAGCGCCATGGCAGCCACGCCCTCTGCCCACGCCTCGCAGCATCAACTGTGCGCTATGGGGTGTGAGGGCAGAGTTTTGTCTATGCTGCCTGGCTGCCATGTCCTTGGCTGCACTGCTCCACGTGGGCCACGCTCGGGGGCAACTCTTCTCCAGGAGGGCTGCTGGTGAGGAGGGGGGTCACGGGGGGAAGCAAGATTGGGGCAACGGCACGTGTGCCCACAGAGAGGGCTCCGAGTGCCGCCTCTGGCACCCGTGCCATAGGTTCGCCACCACTGCACTAGGGGCTTTATTCAGTTATTACCATAATTAGGGAGAAACCACCTGGTTGTAAATTTTCTTCCACATTCTTCAGCAGTGCATTTAATTTTTTTTCCTGAACATTACAGTTAAACTTGTTCAGAAATTGATCTTGGGCCAAAATTCTAGCAGTTTGCTAGAATTCCAAGCGCTTTATTTATTTTAAGTTAAATATTTCCCAACAATTGCCCTTTGCTTATACATCTATCCCTTACTATGATTCACTTCCTGGAATGGAAAATGAAAAAAAAAATGAAACAATTCAGAACAGCTTAGATATGACATAATTGCTAAAATAAACTGGTTTTGGCATTGTTTAATAAATTATTTGCATGCAGTAAAAGTTCATTGTTAACAGTTCAGTTCAGGATGGGGGCTTCCATCATACTGAAATGTGTCAAATCTCACTATACATTATTTCAGACACTTTATGTCATTTATGTAATTATGCAAGTGGTATAATTTGCACCAATTTATGTTACTTCAAATAATTACACTTTGATGTAAAACAAGCAAATTATGTGAATTGTCCTGGTTGCATAAGCATATAATTATTTAAATCATATTAATTTATGTGAATCATCCAGTTTACTTCTGTTACAATGCAATTTATTGTTTGAAATGATGTCTATATATAGTATGTCAGTAGCCAAAATTTGCTAAATCGGAGTCCACTAAATAAGCTTTATTATGCAGCTAGTCTTTGTTTAATAGCAATAATTGGGAGTGGAATGTTTGCCACTAAACAATGTCATAAAGTGCAACATCACATGATTATGTCATTTAACAATGGTAGTTTCGGCAGTCTCCAGTTACCATTGTTAAGCAAATCACTTGAGGTTGTTAAGTAAGGGCCCTACGTGACTGCAATTTCTGACTTCTTGCCAGCTTCCCCACTAACTGGGAAGCTGGAGGGAAAGTTGCAA